GGGCTAGGTCTGACATCAATCTTCCCAGACTGAAACCCCAGGTCCCAAGCCAGCCAGCCACAACAGTGTGAATTCCTCAGGGAGGTGCCAGTCTCATCCCCTTGTAGTTCCCACACTCTTGCGGCGAGCTAAGAAAATGCTTATCTCCCTGAGCCTGGCCTTCATTATTCCATTCCATCACAAATACTGCACTATGAGGCACTGATCATAACAGCACAAGAACAAACACTAAGCACCAGATCCATAGAAGCAGGGGTCTACCACATCAGACAGACCCAAGGTGAAGACCGTGCAGAGAGGCCTCAGAGATAGTCCAACACATAGCGGCAGGGTGTAAGAGGCAGGCAGGAACAGCATACACTGAACGGCACAACAAAGTTGCTGGCACTGTGTACAGGAACATCTGCACAGTGTATGGGCTAGACCCGCCCAAGTCCAGATGGGAGATTCCACAGAAGGTCATGAAGAATAACAGGACTAAAATCCTGTGGGACTTCCAGATCCAGATGGACAGGCAAGTACTGGCCAGACAACCAGACATCGTGGTACCAGGACCAAGGACCAGAAGACAGTGGTAGTGATAGATGTAGCAGTGTCAAGTGACAGCAACATCAGGAAGGAGGAGTATGAGGAGCTGGACAAGTACCAGGGCCTGAAGGAAGAACTAGAGAGGATGTGGAAAGTCAAAGCCAAAGTGGTCCTCGTGGTGGTAGGAGGCCTTGGGGCTGTGACTCCTAAGCAGGGAGAGTGGCTCCAACAGATCCCAGGAACAACACCAGAGCTCTCTGTCTAGAAGAGTGCAGTGCTAGGAACAGCTAAGATATTGTGCAGAAGCCTCAAACTCCCAGGCCTCTGGTAGACGGACCGAGATTGAGGAAGACACATACCACCCATAGGGGTGAGAGGGGATCTTTTTATATATACGTCCTGAATAGATGGCACCATACTATCTTGCTTAACTCGTTTAAGCCAATAACTTTCTAGAGTTCTCTCCCTTTTTCCATTATTCCCAATACCTTTGTGCAATATAACCAAAATACTGTTTTGAAACCTTGTTAAGGTTGTATTTAGCAGAGACCAAAGATCTCTATTGGTCTGGAAAGGGATAAAGTTGTAATAAAGCTATCATAATTCATTAGCTTTCTCCTCTGAAAATTTAACTGAACTCAGTTGTTCTTTTTCAGATGAAGTGTAAGCAATAACATTACATCATATAAATGGTTTTGGTGCCCAACAAAGAGACCTCTTCCATTTGCTCCTCAGAACATGGAGGACTTTCACGTTTCCATTTAAATGCTGGCAGGATTTGATCCCCAGTCCACAGCAGGGGCAATTTGTACAAGAAGCTGAAAATCAATGCAATAAATAGTGGGAAGGTGCGCAATATCAGGATGCTTTATCCTGGACTCCTGAGCGGGGGCAGCCCTTCTCTTGTGAAAATAAATGCCGATTCACCCAAGAGCAAGAAATTCATTCTTGCCCTCTGTTAGAGAATTGAATGGGCTGTGTTTTTTGGCAAGGCTCCCCCTTTCTTCCCTATGCCTCCACAGCTCTACATTCAGAGCCCTGGGGAGAAAGCCCCCCAAACCAATCGTGCACATTTCTGTTTCAGGCTCTGGGAAAGGCCCAACCTGTCCAGAGGGAGCTGTTCCCTGAAGAGGCGGGGGCGCGCACCAAACACTTACTTGGCTGGGTGGCTGGAGGGATGTTTGGGATGCCATGAGAGGCCAGTCCAGCAGATCCTGGAGGCTGCTGCCCTGGAAGATTCATTGCCTGCCCCATGGGGGGGCCAAGCCCGCTCATCCCAGCCAGTGAGGTCCCCTGAGAATGAGGATTCATCCCTATGGCCCCTGCTCTTGCTGGCGGACCACCAGTCAGATTCTGCAGGGCATTCATTGGATCTGGGGAGAAAAAACAGACAGGCACATCTGCTCTGCTCTGCTCACGCAGCTGAAGACACGCCCGCTTCACGTGAAGCTCCACCTGCCTCGGCAGAAAAGGCATTGACCCACCCAGGCTCTGATTACAGAAGTGGAACAGAAGTGTTCCGGCATCCTCTTGGAGCTTGAAGAAGGGGCAGGGTGGGGAGTGTCAGAAAGCATTTTTCAGAACCTGTTTCCTCTTTTCACAAAATCTTCCTCCTTCATGGAAGTTCCAAATGCCATCCAACTGCCTTAAGCAGCCCAGAGTACATACCCCTCCACCCTCGCCTTCGGTTTCTGGCTGTGGCACACAGGAAGAGGCCCTAGGAAGTGTCACTACAAGAGGAAGGTGACAAAGAGTTGTTCCTTACCACTGACGGAGGCCAGGGACTTCTTGTTGTCTAGGAAATAAAAAGTTTAACAGGTTGTACACACAGATTTAGTGAACAACAGATTGGGGCAACAGGACTTCTGCTGGGAAACACAGGTCTTTCCCTGAAGGCAGGATTCATTTAAAATCAATAGCTTTAAATGCAGGAGTGAGGAACTGGAGTCCCTAAAGCCTTTGGACTCTTTCTCCAATGGGCTTTTAGGCCTAAAACAAGGTGCCATTTATGGGGATTTTCAGGGGGCTCGGAGCTAATGCCAATATTACTCATTCTCTGGAAAGATCATTTTTCCAGAAAAAAATCAGGCAAACCAAAATGAGATAATTACATTGTGACTATTATGATTACATAGCATCCTCACATATAAAGGAAAGAGTAAACCTTCCTATAGGCAATCAGATGGCCACGCCATTCAAAGAAAGGGCTTCTGTGTTGTACCTGGTTTTCTTATCCCTCATTTTAGCCCCCCTTTTCCTTCCTTCCTTCCTTCTGAGAGCTCAGCATGGCACCTGCAATTCTCCTTTGGATTTCAGGGGGAGCTGAGAACAGGCCCAGCTAGAGAGCTTTCTCAATTATTCAGTTGAGAAGCTGGCCCCAAATTCCAACTAGGGGAGGATGGGGGGGCTAAGGCTTGGTGCGAGCCCCCTGACTCCAACTCCTCCCCACCCCTGGCCCAAGGCAGCCAGGAAAAGGCCCTTAAGCTGATCCACAGAAACACGGCTACTTACGAATATCCCGAAAATGGATGATGAGTCTTGCCACGAGAGAGAGATATTCGTCCTAAATGTAGAAAATTGACATACATTGCAGAAGGCAGCAGGGAGGCAGAGGCAAGGGCTGCTGTGACTCATTGCCCCACTAGGCAGGGTGTGTTGGCCTTTGCAGAGCATGGGAGAAAGGCCCCTGTCGGTGGAAGGGGGGCCCAGGCAGAAGACAGAGGCAGCTCCGCAGCTGAGCAACCGCAGGAGCAGGAGGGCTCTGTAGGTTCTGGCTCAGACCAGAGGGATCCCTTCTTGGATCCACTGGAGCCTGGCTGCTGCTCAATCTCCTCAACTCATGAGATTCAGAAATTCGTGGTCATGGGGTTCACAAACTCCGCATGCACTGGACTGGGTGCCATGTGGGCAGGGGACATCTCAGGCCACAGAGCTGGGAGGGGTGGATTCACAAATTCACTTAAGGTTACGGTGCTTGACCTCTGGGATGAGAAGCTGCTCTGACCCCACCTCTTTCCACTTCTCAGCCTCGTACGATCACCCTGGGCTGCTCCCCACCAAGCATTCTGAGAACTGCAGCCAAGGTCTCGAACAGGAAAGCCCTGTTTCCGTTGCTACTTCATTTATGTGTTATGTGTTAGATGTATATGCTGCCTTTCATTCAGGGGCTCAACGCACTGTGCAGAGCACTCCCCTCCTCCTGTTCCCCCCCTCCAGGAAGCTTCTGTGGACTAGAAACAGATCTCCCTGCTCCTAGTCCAGCACCTTTCCTTTTGGATGGGGGGGAGGATCTCCTTTCCTTAGGAAGTGTTTCCAACATACAAGCAGAACCTCCCTTTCTGTAACTTAATTTCCTTATTCTACGTCCTGCACAGACCTCCATGACCTTGGTTCATGTATTTGAAGAGAGGCATCATATCCTTCCAGAGAAGGAGTCAGGAGTTCAGATTTTACACCCACTCACTGAAAAGTACATCTCACCTACTGAGCTTGCACACCTTTCATTCACATAAAGCAAATAAAATTTCACGTCAAGCACTGCCTTCCTTTTAGCCCCCCCGTTCTGTGGATAAGGTCCAGTGGAAGGTGTCTTACTGCATCAGCCCAATTATGGCAGGAATGGAATCGGCAGATGGCTGGTTGGGCATCACCAGATGCTTCCTGCCTGGGGCCTGTGGAAGTGCCAAAAGGGGAGGAAGGGATGAGGCTTGGCTAGGCAAGGCAGTTCTTCCACTCCCTTATGGGAGAAACCCATCAGGCAGCCCAAGCTGGACCTTGTGATGCCTGGAATAAGCAGGGTGGGAAAGAGAGGGCAGAGTGGGCTTTTCCTCTTCCTTCTTGCAGAGGATGGGCCGGCATCTTCTGCTTTCTGCCAGTGCTGCTGCTCCCCTTTTCCTGCGTGACACAAACAGCCAGGAAGGAATGGAGCCCTGGGCAGAGAAGCGTCAGGCCAAAAGCACAACCCTGGCAGGCAAAGGGAGCTGCCTCTTCTGTCTGCCCCTATCAGGCCTGGTGCCTGAGAAGGGCCGCTTTCCTCCATGCCCGATGCCCCCAGGAGGGCAGGGAGGAACTTCTGTGCGACATCCCAGAGAGTGGCCGCCTCACCTGTGAGCCTCCCTGGCTTGGGAGCCACTGGCTCTTCAGCCCCCTCCTTGTTGAGTCTGAGTCCTCACCCTGACATGTCTCCTTCATCAAGGAAAGGAATGTCTTACCCGTGTTTTGGCCTTCATGAAAACATGGTTTTCCATTTCTTTGCTAGTCTTATTGTGAGCAACACCAGCCTTTCTCATGGCATCTTCACTGCAAGACATAAAAAACAAGAGTCTGCTCAAAACTAGGGCAGCCTGGGACAACTCTTGGGTTCACCTCAGTTTATGGCACAGCTATTGTGAATGGGCCTGAAACTTCACTTGGCTTCTCCTCATGGCAACAACTTTGATCATTGTAAAGAAAACACCCTGAAAACCAGCTGTGGATTCTGTTCAATTGCTTTTTCCAGCCATAATGATCTTCCTGGCAGATGGGTGGCCAAAGCCCTTCTCTGCCTTGTCAGGGGGTTGGATTTAAACAGAGACTGGCTCTTTCCTGAACGGCTGTTACTGGCTTCTCCTGCACCCAGCCCTCCTGTGTCAGAATCCTCACAATCAATTAACCACATTATTTGCCAGCTTGCTTGCTTGGGTTCTGCCATTAAGAGAAAGGGGGGGGGGGGGGTTGCTGGAAGGATCTGGAAGGATGGATGGAAGAAATGACCGTTAGAGGCAGATGGGCTGATCAAAGACTGAGGAATGCTCAAGGTTGTACCAACAAGCAAGTGTGAGAAGACTAGGAGGTTGGGGGGTGCAAGGGGGAAAAAGAAAAAAGGTAAAAGCAACTTTTGGCACACACGGGCTCAGTCTTAGCAATGCTTTGGAACTGTACACGTTCTCAATAAATGAACTTTCTTTTGAACCAATATTGGTTGCAAGGAGAGTTATTGAAGTTGGGAGTTGGGAGTGGTAGATCGTTACATCCTGCTTGCTCCCCTGCAGGCTTTGAGACACAACCCATGATCAGGACTGTGCTTTGTTGGCCCAACCAGGTCACACTTTTTGGAGCTCTAAAGGCACAAGGACATTTCCTTGCTTATAAGCAATAAGACATTTGTACAGCACAAGGCCAAATGTTGGTCAGATCCATGCCCCTCCTGACTGGATTAAGGCCTCCTGGGAAGTGGCATGTGGTGGGATCCAAGTGGTGGTGAACTCATTCTTGAGTGAGGGGATAATCTCTTGATGGAGGCAGAAGTCCACCTTCTTAAGAAGCATCTCTGGACCCAACAGTATTGGTTAATATCCAACCTGTCTCCAGCCTTCCCATTTTGAGGAAGGCTGTTGAGAAGTTGAGCACTCAAATTGCAGCTCCAGAGGGCTCTGGAGCAAGTGGATTAGCCAGCCTTTTTCAGTCCAGTTTCCCTCCTGGCTGTAGTATGGAGATGGCATTGATTGCATTTGTGGATGATCTCTGGTGGAGCCAGAATGGGGGTGGTACAACTATCCTGGTTCACCAGGCTCCAGATTCACATCAAAATCAGATCTCTTAGGAGCATTCAATACCATTAATCATGGTATCTGTCTGGACCAACTACCGAGTGGTCAATATGTTGTCTCAGTTTCTAGAGGCTGTTGAAGTCTGGATGGGGAGAAATTAGTTGAAGCTGAACTGGAGCAAGACCAAGAGGCTGAGGGCTTTGGTTCCAGGGATTTACTAACTTTATTTTTCAGTGGGGTTGCGCTTCCCCATATAGAACAAGTGTGGAACAAGTCTGGTTTTCTTTCTGGACTCTCAGCAGTTGCTCAAGGAGCAGGTAGCAGCTATGGCCAGGAAAGGCTTTGCACAGATTTATCTGCTGTACCAATTGTGCCCTTTCTTGGATCATGATGCCCTGCTCATGGCCACTCATGCCTCAGTCACCTTGCATAAGAATTACTACAATGTACCTTGAATGGAGGTGCCCTTGAAGACTACACAGAAGCTACAGCTGATCCAGAATGCAGTGGTGTGAGCTGCACTGGTTACTAGTTGGCTTCCAGATGCAATTCCACATGCTGTTTGCCATCTATAAAGTCCTATATGGCATAGGGCCAAGATATTTGCAGGATCACATGTCCTCAGTTGAGTCTGCCTGTCCAGTAAGATATGACCAGGTTGGTGGTGTGGTCTTGTGAGACCTAGGAGGCGCGTGCCTTCTCTGTTGCTGCACCTGCTTTCTGGAATAGCCTTCCCCCTCAGATCTGTGCTGTCCTTCCAGAGACCCTTGGAAGACCTTGTGCTAAGATGTTCATGAGCCCGCTGTTGAGTCTGAGTGGTTTGCACTTGATTTTATTGCTTTTCCTGGTATGATCCTTTCTATTCCTGTGTTAATTTGTCTACATTTTTGTTTCTCAGCCTTGTAAGCTTGCCATAGTTGTATATGAAAGAGCGGTTGTGGAAATCACAAATTGAAGACACTCACAATAAAGTCCTCCATCTAACTGGAGGAGGGTCCAGTATACTCAGCTTTGAAAGGGGGGCTTTCTTTTGATTTCCCCCTTTCCAGTCAGACACATTTTGGTGCCCTGGCCCAGAATTCTTCTTCCTCCAGGAAGACTTTGTTTTAGCAGACTATGGCTAGGGCTAGGGCCGTTGCTTTTTGGTCTTGGTAAGCCTGTGCAGTTGCAGTTTGGCCATGTTTACAGTCCGAAGAATCCTCTCCACTTCCTCAAGAATCACAGGCTCAGACTTTTCCCAGATAACAGGCAATACCCAGCCTTAGTCAACCAGACTGGGCCTACTGCAAGTTTCTCCACATTTAGCAGGTGTTCCTCTCAAGGATCCTGCCACCTGCAACGTCATGCCTTCCTGCTTCTATAACCTTCTTTAAACCGCTGGCTGATTCCAAGATGCCTCAAAAATGTGTCAGTCCAGAACAGGGGTAGGAAGCTTTTTTAGACTTTTGATGGAATTGGCAGGAATGACACTTTAGGTAAAGTTTAAGGGTCAAAACTGGTGTCTTAACCTTCATAAAGATTTAAGGGATACATTTTACTCCTTAATCCACTTGCTTTCCAATAGGTTTAAACATTTTGGAGCCATCCAGTATGGGGAAGAGGAACTGGTGGTTGTACTGGGAGGACGCCTAGACTGTCCAACCTTGAGCTGTCAGAAGGGATCTTCCCTTTTTATGAAGCTTTTCATGAGAGATGGAAAACCAAATCACTAGACAAACAGAAACCACCCAGGGAGCTTTGCAAATGGGCATTATGGGAACAGTGAATTGATATTTAAACAGAGAAAAAAAAATAAGCTAAATTAAATGCCTCCAACCTAGAAACTCTGGCTAGTAAATGTACTTATTGTTTCTTGAAACGCTTGATTCATACACAGCCTCTGGAAGGTCTAATGGCAGGATAGAAAGAAAAGGTTGATGTTGAACCCAACCAAGATAGAGCTATTGTTTATTCAGTGAGAGCTTCTACCAGCTCTAGTGCTGTCTCTCAAAGGGTTAACATCATCCCTGAGAGAGAGAGCATGTGGGAATCCTCTGGAGTCATAGCTACTGCTGGATGGGTAGGTAGGTCCTTGGCCAGGAGGACCTTTGGGAGCTCCAGTTTCAGCCTGACCCAGAGTGAACGCTGAGACAGTAACTCCCACTCTCATCAATGCTCAGTTAGTCTACATCAGTTGCCAACAGGTTTCCAGGTGAAATGTTAAAGTGCTGGTTTTACCTATGATCTTATGTGGCTGAAGTACCTTCTGGACCACCTACTTGAACTACAATCAATCTATGGCTGGTGTGGGTCTTCCGGGCTGTGTGGCCGTGTTCTGGAAGGCTTGTTTCCTAACGTTTCGCCAGCACCCGTGGACCGGGGACTCCTAGGGGGCGAAGCACCCAAAGAAACGGAGGGCCACAAAGGATGCAGCCCTTTTTGTCCTCCTCCCT